ACATTATTGAGTTACATTATTTTCTTTAGAATGAATTTTTGAATAGTGTATTGATGGGAAATATGTGATTAAAAATAAAGAAAGGTTTTGAATTTGGGTGTAATATTATTTTATTAAAAAATATTTAGTTGAAATGATGCCAAATCACTGTTTAAAAATGTGGCTTAAACGTGCCCTATATAAGATTATTCTCATTATTATTTTATTTTATTTATTATTTCAAAGAGCATTGGTCATATAAAAACTACAATAAGGGCTCATTTGTCATGGTATTGGAAAAGTCAAAAGAAATTTTTGAACCCATTTGCTAATTTTATGAAAGTGCTTTTGGTTGCTAGAAAAGTTTATAGAAGAAGCTCGTCCAATCTAGTTTTCTTTAAAAGTACTTTCGAAGTAAGGAGTGCTTAAAAATTAGCTTTCAAACAAAAATTAAGGTAGTTTTTTTCAAAATCTTTTTTACAAAATGCAAAAGTAGAAACAAATTCATGCAAAATGAGTCTTTAAGCTAATTGTACTAATGATGTTTACACTTTTGTTAACTAGAAATTGAGGTGACATGTATTTTGGTCCATACACAATTAATTTGACAGAGAGATTCGGCAAACAATGAGATAATATGTATTTTGGTTCTGAGTAATGCTATTCAGTCATTCATTGTGGTAGTCGCTTTACGTGACATTCTACATAGTGATTTGTGATTTGATGTATTAATGTGATAGTTTTTCTTACCTCATATATCAAATCGTTAACTATCATATGTACATCACGTAGGACGACTACAATATTGAATGGTTGCAAACAGCATTCTCCTCGCTCACAACCAGCCCAAAACAAAAGGGAAGTACCTTTCCCTCTGGGGGTAGGAAAATCATATTCTAGTGTCCTAGGCGCAGAGGAACCACAACAATCCATCCCGAACTTGGTGGGATCTTTACGGCGCTTCCTCTATCAATTAGATCCTTTTTTTTATCCATAGAAAAAAGTAGTGATTTCATAATTGCTCACGAGGCATAACTGTAAAAATTATTTCCCATATTTTCTTCTGGGAATTCTGAAGACAGTTGTACAGGTAGGTGTCGTTAAATAATTACTGGATATACATGACGATTAAGAGAAATTTACGTGTAAAGAAGAAATGCTGCTGCGGCGGCGGCGATGGAGCATTTTGATTTTTGTATATCCTACGGGCCCCCACGCAACACTACATGCAGATGGTCACTGTCAGCACTATAGCAACTACACGATTATTCTAGATAGACACTCGTTTGAAAGTTATGAGTATATTCATTATTTTAAAGAATCAAATATTAAAATTAAATTTTAAAAAATATTTTATCTTAATATTTTAGAGTTAAAAACGAGTTTGATTTTTTTTATTTGAAAAGTCAAAATAACCAGTAATTTTATTTAATGAAATTATAAGTTTCAACATTTTACTATTTTAGTTATTAATATTATAGTGAATATCACTTTAACAATTAACATCTGAAAATATTTATTAATTGAAAAATTAAAAAATAATAATGAATATTAAAAAAAATAAAGAATTTGTTAAAATATGTAAAAAATTACTTTTTAAATTTAAAAAAATCTTTATTGTAACCAAAACGTTCTTTAAAAGTAAAAAAAGTTGATCAAATAATCAAAATGATCATAAATATAGGGGAAAAGGTTTATTTTTGATTTAATTATTTCGAAGTTTTTATTTTAGAAAATGTAAAGATACAGTTATTCCTCACTTATTTTGTTAATTTGAGTCAAACTTCTAATTTTTGGGTTGACTAATAGATTAATGGATGGATTTTGTCCAATGGACTCCGGTTGCAGTTAAAGTGAAAGGTTTGGAATTGTAGTCTCAAAAATAAAAGGTTAAGATATAGTTTGCAATAAATTGAAAGGTCTGGCATCTTCGTTGCAATTTTCCCTAAAATATAAGGATAATTATATTGATAGTACAATTTTTATTTTTTACACATTATTTCAATTGCACTTAAAGTTTTCAATCTTTATTCATTATTGCACTCATGCACTTAAACGTTTTTTCATGGCATTATCATCCTTAATTTTTTATTAGTTAACATATTGTATTTGATAATAGTTTTTATTCAAAAAATTCGTTGAAATGACGTAAAATGATTTACTTCCCATCAAAATATTTTAAAATAAATAATACAAAAGTGCGATCAAATATTTTCCCTCATTTCAAAATTATGGAAACAAAATATCTTAACAAAAATTACTATCGAAGACGAAATGTTCTAGTTAATGGGAAGTTGAAAATAAGAATATAAGAAAAAATTTAAAGATATAAACAAAAATGATTGGTGTACAAAATTTTGGCCTACAGAAAATTTACAGAAACCTCAAAAAGGTGTGGGTCCCATCTGAAAAAAAAATGTCAAAAATTCACTCACTCACCCGCATGCGAGATGTCGGTAACATCAATCATAACCTAGATATAAATGGGATGACTAACAAAGGTTGAGGAATTTAAGTATGATAAAAATATAGTGCGGCGAATAAAAACTAAGCCCTTGTTTGAGCTCCTTTTTTTAATAAGAATGAATTTTTGAATAGTATATGGATGAGAAATATGTGATTAAAAAATAAAGAAAAAATTTGAATTTTTTTATAATTTTATTTTATTGAAGAATGTTATTGAAATGATGTCAAAATACTATTTTTAAGAATATATTTTTTCAAAGAATGTGACTTAAACAAGGGCTAAATGGTGTTTGTATAGCTGGCCAAAATATAAATTTAAAGGCGAATCGTCATCCTTGACTTGACCTTTTATAAACCATTTTAATTTTTTATATATATGATTAGGTTGGTTTTTAATTTTTAAAGTTTAATCGACAATTTATCCAACTTCCAAAACATTTAGCTCCCCTTTGATTTTCATTCTTTAGCCACAAAAATGAAAAATATGACCGTTATCCATCATATTAAGTCACCATATTTGACTTTTTATCTCTTATATAGATTTCGTAACGATTATATTTTTCATTCTCATTCTTAAAAAAATAAGAATATTCTCTATGTAGTATATTTTGTCAATACTTTCATGAACTTCTCTTTCGCGGTTGGACCGTCCTTCGAATTGACAATTATAAACTTTACTTTTTCTTTCATTTTTTTCTTTATGTTTCTCTCTCTTCTTTTTATTTATTTAACCCTTGTTTGGTTATAATTAAAATCTAAATTTTAATATAAATCAAAGTCGACAATTAATTTTAATTATATATTTTATGGAGCCCACAAATTTTCACTCATACATTTCCTCAAATTTTACTAAAAATTTAATTTTAATCTCTATCAAATCGAGGCTTAAAAAGAAAAGTAAAAACGTTATTTTACATGATTTTACATAATGAAAATAGCAAATTTCAGAGACATTTAGCCATTGTTTGATTCTTATTCTTCAAAAAATTTATTTTTTCAAAACTTATTTTCAACTCTTCAGTAAAATAATATTACATGTAAATCGAATTTTTTTTTTATTTTTAACCACACATTCTTCATCATTCTACTATTTAAAATGCATTATTCCCCAAAATGGAAATCAAACAAGGGCTTAGCACAATATCTGATTATATGACAGTATATTACGCCACATGAAAGAATATGAATGATTTGCAAAAACACGTACTAGAGTTGTTGTGATTACTAACCCATTTAAGAATATGGCTCTGTTTTTTTTTTTTTTAATAATTATTAGATTTAGTAAATTACATATTTCAAAATGTTACATTTTAAATTATTAAAACAATATTTGAATTAATTGATTATTGACATCTAAAAAAGAATAATGTTATTTGTAAATCATGATTTATAAATTCATTTACAGAATGATGGTGTTGATTATATTAATTGACTCTTTTCCTTCTATGATTTGTCCCCTCTCTTTTCCATGTCATTGTTTTATTGAAAATAATAGAGAGAAAAGTGTATTTTGAAAGATAATAAGGACCAAACAAGAATTCAATGGATTATGTGATTGAAAAATTAATAAAAGTTACGAGTTCCATAAAATATGTTGCGGAAAAAAGTTTGACAAACATGAGTTTTAAAAAATAGAGACCACATATGGCTAAATGTTCATTAAAGACAAAATAAATAATCAAAATAGAGAGTATTATTTGATTGTATAAAACTTTACTCTTTAAATTTAAAGATGATATCTATTATCCGTAAGATTTTCCTCATAAATAGAGAATCTATTAAAAATACTCTAAAAACTTAAAATAAAAAAATCTCCAAAGTTTATTTTTAAATATCTAATCTCTAAAATGGAAAACATCTTGTAGTTGAGAGTCATTTGAAAATGCTCCAATGATATTCAATTTCATTAGTCTTAACTCTTAACCACTGTTTGTTGGATACCAAAATCAGTTTTTTAGCAAATTTTGATAAAAGTTGATGGAATGTTTAGTTCAAAAATTGTGAATCTCATAAAGTATATAGTTAAAATAAATCGTGAACATTGATTTTGATAAAAACCTAGATTTTAATTTCTATCAAATAGGGGCTTAATAAGGTTTGTGGTAAAATCACGATGTTCAATGAATAAAGATGGACTATAATTTTATTAAACAATTTTATCTGATATCATTGGTGTTATAACATTAATTTAGGTATCGTCAAATTCAATAAAAAGGTAGAATTTGGTGATCATTCTTCTCATTCAATACATGTTATTGTCAATATTTTAACACCGATAAGGGTTGTTTGAGCCCTATTTTTTGTTTTTTTTAAATGTATTTTGTAATAATGTTACGATATACGATGTGTAATTAAAAAATAAGAAAAATATTTTGAATTTATATGTAATATTATTTTATTAACTAATGCGTAATTAAGATGAGATCAAATTACTGTTCAAAAATTTTATTTTGATGGAAAAATATGGCTTGAACACGGCTCTCATTTTAATTTTTTATTATACAAAGTGAGAACCACTGTCACGTCAGCTGTTACGAGTATTACTAAACCTTTATCTCTGGCTCTGCTGGACACACATAAATATAACTCATCTTCATTCGCCAACTGAAGCAACGTTTTAGAGAGTGAGGGAGATGGGATCAGTGGAGAGAGATATAGATGATCTGCCCAAGAATCCGGCCAACTACACCACGTTGACCCCACTCGGGTTTCTGGAGCGGGCTGCGCTGGTCCACCCGATCCGCAAATCTGTAATCCATGGCTCTGTATCCTATACATGGCAGCAAACTTACCACCGCTGCCGCCGATTGGCCTCCGCCCTCACAAACCGTTCCGTGGGCTTTGGGGACACGGTCAGCGATTATCATTTTTTCTTCATTTAATAAATTGTTATCATTATTAGTATTTTTTTCGGTCCTGTAATTAACGAAGGAATTGATTATTGGTTTTAGGGAAGTTGTAGGGTTTAATTGCGAATTAATGAATGAGTAATTAGTGTAAAAACTAAATAAAATGAATTCTTCGTCATGTTTTTAAGTTATTGTTGTTTTGGGGTTCAGTTAATGCACAGTTGTATAATTTCTTAAAGATAAGGTTCTCTCTTTCATTTTCCTCCTCGCAATTATACACCATTTATTGTTGAGGATATCGTATAATCTTATAGAGAGTAAGTTTTGTCTTAAGTTAACCAAAAAAAAAAAAAAAAAAAAAAAAAAAAGGAAAAAAGGAAAAAAGTACCTATCTTAAGAAGTAATTCTTAGCTTATCATCAACATAGATCACTTACTTATCCTAAATTTAACTTAAAGAAATATTTATTTTATAACTTATTTACTTATAAGCGAGTTCTTTTAAGCTACGCCAAACATGCCTATAGCCTATAGTTATTAATTGCTTAGTTTTTTTATTCTTTTTCTGCAATTTCACTATCAGTTCCAATTTTATTTTATTTTTAATTACAACAGATGAAGCCTTGTTTATTGTTGAATAAAGCTAATTTTCCAAGTTTGTTTTTCCTACTTATAACATGCCTGGCTAAGCTTAAGAAGTTCACTTATAAGTCAATATGAATGTTTTGAAATAAGTAAATTTTTTATTGGTGAAAATTGAAAATAACTTGGGTCTGTTTGATTGTAAAGATGGAATTTAGGTGAAAAGAAAATGAATTTCAGGAAATTGAATTGCTTAGAAATTGTTTTCCTGAGAATTGTAAATTATTGTGTTTGATCGGTATAATTTTTCACGTTAAAAATATTGCATTGGAAGTGTTTTTTTGTGTTCGTTTGGTTTTGTTTTACATGAAAATTGTCAATTAAAGGGATAAATTTTACTAGTATTGGGGATAAAATTTGTTGCCATTACCTAAAAAAAAAAAATTTCAAGAAAATTATCAATTTTTTGGTGTTTGTTTGACTTTATTTTATATGGAAATTGCCAATTAAAGGAATTTTTTCCCCCAATAATTCTTAGAATTTATTTCCATTGCCTAAAAAAAAAAAAAAAAAAAAAAACCTACAGTAAACTGGAAAAATGAATTCTCACCATTTTCCTCCAAAATATGGAAAATGTCTCTGTGGCATGAAAATGTGGAAAATGAATTCCAAGAAAATTTTTGCCAATCAAACATCCAAAAATTGAAAAGATGAAATTGCAATTTCATTTTTCATGGAATTTCCTACCTATCAAACAAGGCCTGAGTTACTCACTTTAATGAAAGAGTTACTTTAGTAAAAAACATATTTTTAGTTAAAAGGAAGAAACGTATGAGTTGTGCTATGCAAACTTGTTTTCAGTTCGAAGTCCAAATGTCACTTGAGGAACTACACTTTTTGTAGTGGAAACTAGAAAGAGAGAACTTCACCTTTTTAGGCTTAGCCTTTTAGATGAATTGCAGTAGCTGATCAGGCCATTGTAGACATGATAACAATTTATCTTCTCTATTTGACATATTTTTTTAGATCGAGTTCCTATAATTGTTTGAATAATATATATTACTACTTCACCCACCAAGATAGGCTTGCTTTCTTTTATTGTTCGTCCCAAATTGTAAGTCACTTTTCTTAAGAGTATAGTAGAGTTTTTAATTTTCTAATATGTCACTATTTAATGTTTCTTGTTATCAATAAATATGAATTATTTCTTTTTAAACCATTATTTCATATACGGGTATATTAGGAAAAATGTAAGAAAAAATTATATTTCCAACTATATTAATTACATTTTCTTAATCTATGTGAAAAATGAAAGTAAGCATATCTATATGGACGGAAGGAGTAATTATTTGTATTAATTTGGGTATCCCAATCTATTAAAACATACATAACCTTTCTAAGAAACTATGCGTTGAGTATCAGAGATGAGATTGAAAGGATAAACATTCGACTTGACTCATAGCAGTACGCATTCCACGTTCTAATTTGATGGATAAAACAACTATGGTACATACACATTTATGAGCTAACCATGCAATGATCTATTGTGGCCTCACCATTTTAAAGAGTCAAGTCATTATGTTAATTTGATTTAGCGCATTGTGCTCTGTACCTTTTCAAATGGGTGTTGTTAATATCCATATATCATTGCTTTCTTTCATTATATAGTTTATACTAATATTCTACATGTAAATTTGGTAAGAAATTATCATTTTTGGGGTTAATCCGCTTAAATCAAACCCCAATGAAGATAATTATAATATTTTCCTCTTCATACGAGCTGTGAATTGTTGCTGGATTTTTTACTGAAGTTTTTATATTCCAATTAAGATATATCTCTTTCTGGGATTAATGGCAGGTTGCTGTGATTGCGCCAAACATCCCAGCCTTGTATGAAGCTCATTTTGGAGTTCCAATGTCTGGAGCTGTTTTAAATGCTGTTAATATTCGTTTAAATGCACAAACCATTGCTTTTCTTTTAGGACACTCAAAATCTTCTGTCATAATGGTGGACCAAGACTTTTACACTTTGGCAGAGGAGGCTTTGAACATTTTAGCTGAAAAAAATAAAGGAAATTTTACGTCTCCACTTCTAATTGTTATTGCAGATGAAAACTGTGACTCGAAAACTCTCCAATATGCTGTGGGACGAGGCGCGATGGAATATGAAAAATTTCTGGAGACCGGTGACCCAAATTTTGCGTGGAAGCCACCACAGGATGAGTGGCATAGCATTGCGTTGGGTTATACTTCCGGTACCACAGCTAGCCCCAAGGGGGTGGTGCTGCACCATCGTGGTGCACACCTCATGGCTTTGAGTAATGCCATTATTTGGGGAATGCAGGAAGGGGCCGTGTACCTGTGGACTCTACCAATGTTCCACTGTAATGGTTGGTGCTTCACTTGGACACTTGCAGCACTTTGTGGTACAAGCATATGCCTTAGACAGGTAGCCCAACTGGCATTTTTCTCTAGCGTATACAGATAAACGGCTCTTAATATTACTATTTGATTTTATAGATGATGTATTTTGTCTCACTAATGGCCGTCCCAAATATTTAAGGCATGTTTCTGTGCAGTACTAGATATGAGTAGACCATACAATAGACAATATTTTAACTATTTTTTTCTTCTTTAAAGCTGTCCAATCCATAATTATTTCATGGGATATGCTGATTTTAACTTGTTTATGCATCTGAAAGTGGATTTTATTCATTCTTGGTCAATGTTACATACATCATTACTAGTTATCAATTAGATACATTGCAATCTATACTTCCAAGTGTTAAGTAGTTTCTTATGTGAGTGAAGATCAAAGGGAACCATTTTGGTTTTTATCAATTAACGTGTCGTTCTATTCCTATGTTGGTCAAATGTTGCTGTACCTTTAAGCTGGTTACTAAAATTACCTTGCACTTTTGAAATCTTGAATGGTGCAGGTGACGGCTAAGGGTGTATACTCTGCTATAGCTAACCTCAATGTGACCCATTTCTGCGCTGCTCCCGTGGTTCTCAACACCATAGTTAATGCCCCGAAAGACGAGACGATCCTCCCTCTTCCTCGTGTAGTTCATGTAATGACAGCAGGTGCTGCTCCGCCCCCTTCTCTCCTTTTTGCAATGTCCCAGCGGGGCTTTCGAGTTACACACACTTATGGACTATCTGAGACTTATGGCCCTTCCACTATATGTGCATGGAAGCCTGAGTGGGATTCTCTTCCACCAGAAGCTCAAGCACGTATGAATTCACGCCAAGGTGTTCGATATGTGGCTCTGGAGGGCTTGGATGTTGTTAACACACAAACCATGGCACCTGTACCTGCTGATGGAACCACAGTTGGAGAAATTGTTTTCCGGGGCAATGCTGTAATGAAGGGCTACTTGAAGAACCCTAAAGCAAATGAAGAATCTTTTGCTGGTGGCTGGTTTCATTCTGGAGATCTTGGTGTTAAGCATCCAGATGGTTATATAGAAATTAAAGATCGATCAAAGGATATAATTATATCAGGAGGCGAAAACATCAGTAGTGTCGAGGTTGAGAACATTCTATATCAACACCCGGCAATATTTGAAGTTTCAGTGGTGGCCAGGCCAGATGAGCAATGGGGAGAATCACCTTGTGCATTTGTGACATTAAAGCCTGGAGTGGATACTTCTGATCAACAACGCATGGCAGAAGATATAATGAAGTTCAGTCGATCAAAGATGCCTGCATATTGGGCTCCAAAATCAGTGGTCTTTGGACCGTTGCCTAAAACTGCCACTGGGAAAATACAGAAACATATATTAAGGGCGAAGGCGAAGGAGATGGGACCAGTGAAGAAGAGCAGATTATAAGAGCCACTACTGTATGTAACTCTTAATAAATATGTAATTTTGGTAAATCTTCTTTCCTTTATATTGTTCGTACAAACCTTGGTTGAAGAATATATTTAATAAATAAAACGTACCATCCTTGAATTATCTCAAGTGGTGGTAAATTCAGATTATTAAATAGATGAATTTACATAAGATTTTATTTCTATATTGAACAAAATGTGCATGCTGCTGAAAATTTGTATCTATTTATGTCTCATATAAAATTAACCTAATACCACCGTTACTTGCACAGTTGCACTATATATATATAATACACTTATAAAACTACTTGATCGAATCTGGGTCCATTATTTTCATTCACTTACAGTGCCAAAAGATGAACCGGCTCCACTTTGCAGTTTTTGAGATTTCTAACCTTGATAAAGGAACTTTCAAGAGTATGAATAATGCAAGAAACGCAGGTAGATAAAAATCCATAACCAGAGAAGGCACTCAGCAATCGCATGATTTAATCGGAATTCTTCATATCTAGCTTTCTGCACACGACTAGCTAATTACTTGACAATTTTGCTAAATCTGCACAATGTTACTTGATGCTATGGAGGGACACTCCTATTTCGGCTCTTAAACATGTTGCTACTACGGTAGCAGCGGGAATTTCTCTTGTAACTCACCTCTTCCTCTTTTGTAGGGGGATGTAAATACGTCAATGTGATGTGCCGAAAATTTTAGAATAAGTGAAAAATCACTTTGCAACCTACTGCTACTAAGTCACCATCCCCTAAGTAAAACTGGTCCTTCTTATTGCACCAAGACCAGCGTTGACTATCCCTTGCATAAAACTAGGTAATTGAAAGGGAAGATGGAAGGGAGAAGAAGAGAAGAGAAAGGCATAAAAGATCTGAGGTTGACTTCGAGCACTCGAAAATTGAAAATTCTCACCCGTGACAAGAATCTCGAAGTTTCTCTTGAATGCAACGAAAAGAAAAAGCTCAAGCGAAAATACGAGAAAATGCCTCCAATTTAGAGGGTGGCCCTCGGAGGATCATGGCAGTGGATATCATATTTTTTTGAATCAACACAATTGTCTAGCACTACAACACCTTGCGGGGATTAGACATAATACAGTTCGTTCTAGGATTCTACCGGAGCATAAATCGATGACCACTTGGTGACCTCGGAATTCCGACTTATAAAGAAAGACCCCACTCGTCAATGGCTCGGATATCGATAACCACGTGTTTGCCACGAAAGTCAGCTAAGTCCGGCAGCAAACAAGCTCGATAGGATTAATTTGTTTGTACATTTCTCATTGACCTCTTGGATGCATCCCCCCATGTGTAGGAAATCTGGCCAATGATTGAAAGAATGTTGTTAAAACCACAAAAAGCTGCCAACTCACACAATGTCATTCGTGATGTCAAACATGATGTACACCAAGTAAAAACTCAATTGGATAACCCACTTTGATCAATCTTAGATTCTCAACTAATGAGTTCAGTTAATTATTCACTTAAGAATAATTTGGAAGTTTTGACCTAACATAATTGAATAAATATGTCCGCCTTCACAAAGGATATTTTGATTTTTTAGCTACGACGCTGAGTTTCAACCGGTGCTAGCCTCTATTTGAGGCCCATTTTTCTCACAATTTATTTATTCTAAATTCATTTTCAATTACATATTTTTTATAAAATAGTTTTACACCTTAACGCATAATTTTTTCCTATTGTTATCTCACATTTTTCAAAAAATTACTATTTCAAAATATATTTCAAAAAAGAAAAAAAGGCCGGGACTAAGTTTACTGATATAAAATTTTAGTTATCCAATTGAGAGTTATTACCACAAAATTTTCTTTCTTATTCAAGGAGAAATGGTATTTCCTTTGAGACCGCACTTGAAACTTCAGTCCATGACCTTCAAATTAACGAACTTTTAACTGCCACTTTCTCTTTCAAAAAACTCATTCTTTCTTCAACGCCATTATTTCTCTCAATGGATCCATTCAAGAATATGTACAAAACCCTAGTGCAATTGTCCGTTGATCTCACATGGCCTCTTTCAGCATCAAGAACACGAGGTTTTTTTTACACTGATTATCACTATACTGCTCCTATTCTTCTTCTTTTCTCCCTCTGACGATTCCTCTCCTCCCATTTCTTACACCAGTCTTGCCTCTCGGATACACTCTGATTCAGATCAAGTTAATTCATTATCCTCAGCTGCTTCCCCTAATGCCCATTTTGGTTCGGAAAATTATAGAAGTTGTACTGATTTTGCCGCAGTTTCTCCTGTTGGAAAAAGACACCGGGTTTCAAGAATTGCTGCAAATGCCCCTTTAGAAAATCAGGGAAGTTGTATTGATTCTACAGCACTTTCTCCTGTTGGAACAAGCCTCCAAGAGTCAAAAAGTTTTGGGAATGGCCCTTCAGTTTTGGAAAATCCCAGAAGTTGTACTGATTCTGCTGTATTTTCTCCTGTTGGAATTGGAACAAGCCTCCAGGATTCAAGAAAATTTGGGAATGTTCCTTTAGTTTCAGAAAATCAACGAAGTTGTACCAATCCTCCGGCAGTTTCTCCTGTTGGCACAATCCCCCAGGTTTCGATAAATGCTGGGAATGCTCCTTCAGTCTTGAAAATTCGCAGAATAAGAACTAATTCTGCCGCAGTTTCTCCTATTGGAACAAGCCATCGGGAGTCAAGAAATTCTGGGAATGCCCCTTTAGTTTCGGAAATTCACAGAGCAAGTAGAGATTCTGCTGCACTTTCTCCTGTCGGACCAAGCCACCAGGGTACAAGAAGTGCTAAATTGTTTGGTGATTTCAATGATACAATAGCTTCTTGTGATATTTTTAATGGCTACTGGACGATGGAGGAAGATTTCAAGCCTCTTTACCAACCGAGTTCTTGCCCTTTTGTTGATGATGCTTTCAATTGTTTCAAGAATGGCCGGCCGGATTCAGACTACTACAAGCTCAGGTGGAAGCCCCATGACTGTGAAATTCCAAGGTTCTCTATAAACACTGTCCCTATATTCTAGCAAAACACGTTCAGTCTTCTATTAGATAAGTACTTGTTTGGTGTTCACTATACAGTATTAAAATCCAGTCGATAGTACAATGGACAAGACTTTAGGTTAATACTGCTGTTATCCACTTTACCAAACCACAAAGGATATTTTGATTTTTTAGCTACGACGCTGAGTTTCAACCGGTGCTAGCCTCTATTTGAGGCCCATTTTTCTCACAATTTATTTATTCTAAATTCATTTTCAATTACATATTTTTTATAAAATAGTTTTACACCTTAACGCATAATTTTTTCCTATTGTTATCTCACATTTTTCAAAAAATTACTATTTCAAAATATATTTCAAAAAAGAAAAAAAGGCCGGGACTAAGTTTACTGATATAAAATTTTAGTTATCCAATTGAGAGTTATTACCACAAAATTTTCTTTCTTATTCAAGGAGAAATGGTATTTCCTTTGAGACCGCACTTGAAACTTCAGTCCATGACCTTCAAATTAACGAACTTTTAACTGCCACTTTCTCTTTCAAAAAACTCATTCTTTCTTCAACGCCATTATTTCTCTCAATGGATCCATTCAAGAATATGTACAAAACCCTAGTGCAATTGTCCGTTGATCTCACATGGCCTCTTTCAGCATCAAGAACACGAGGTTTTTTTTACACTGATTATCACTATACTGCTCCTATTCTTCTTCTTTTCTCCCTCTGACGATTCCTCTCCTCCCATTTCTTACACCAGTCTTGCCTCTCGGATACACTCTGATTCAGATCAAGTTAATTCATTATCCTCAGCTGCTTCCCCTAATGCCCATTTTGGTTCGGAAAATTATAGAAGTTGTACTGATTTTGCCGCAGTTTCTCCTGTTGGAAAAAGACACCGGGTTTCAAGAATTGCTGCAAATGCCCCTTTAGAAAATCAGGGAAGTTGTATTGATTCTACAGCACTTTCTCCTGTTGGAACAAGCCTCCAAGAGTCAAAAAGTTTTGGGAATGGCCCTTCAGTTTTGGAAAATCCCAGAAGTTGTACTGATTCTGCTGTATTTTCTCCTGTTGGAATTGGAACAAGCCTCCAGGATTCAAGAAAATTTGGGAATGTTCCTTTAGTTTCAGAAAATCAACGAAGTTGTACCAATCCTCCGGCAGTTTCTCCTGTTGGCACAATCCCCCAGGTTTCGATAAATGCTGGGAATGCTCCTTCAGTCTTGAAAATTCGCAGAATAAGAACTAATTCTGCCGCAGTTTCTCCTATTGGAACAAGCCATCGGGAGTCAAGAAATTCTGGGAATGCCCCTTTAGTTTCGGAAATTCACAGAGCAAGTAGAGATTCTGCTGCACTTTCTCCTGTCGGACCAAGCCACCAGGGTACAAGAAGTGCTAAATTGTTTGGTGATTTCAATGATACAATAGCTTCTTGTGATATTTTTAATGGCTACTGGACGATGGAGGAAGATTTCAAGCCTCTTTACCAACCGAGTTCTTGCCCTTTTGTTGATGATGCTTTCAATTGTTTCAAGAATGGCCGGCCGGATTCAGACTACTACAAGCTCAGGTGGAAGCCCCATGACTGTGAAATTCCAAGGTTCTCTATAAACACTGTCCCTATATTCTAGCAAAACACGTTCAGTCTTCTATTAGATAAGTACTTGTTTGGTGTTCACTATACAGTATTAAAATCCAGTCGATAGTACAATGGACAAGACTTTAGGTTAATACTGCTGTTATCCACTTTACCAAACATGTCTCGTGTTTTGTTTCACATATTTATGATATTATATAATCTCACATTAGTGTTCTTGAAATTAACGAATTCTTTGCTGATTATAATTCTGTAATTTTCCTTACTTTTTGTTCAAGTTTTTGTTGTTGTGTTGAAATATGAAGGTTTGATGGGATTACAATGCTGAAGATGCTAAGAGGGAAAAGATTGGTGTTTGTGGGGGACTCAATCAACAGAAACATGTGGGAAGCATTAGTCTGTGCTTTGATAGAATCGTTAGATGATAAGAGTAAAGTATTTGAAGCATCAGGCCCACGCGAGTTCAGGAGTCAATGGTTCTATTCTTTCCAATTTAAGGTCATTAAAATGAACAACTTCTTCTTAAGTTGTCTGAAATTCACTTACAGGATCGTGTTTTTTGAAATTCAATCCCTTTCTATATGTGCTCAGGATTTCGAGTGCTCCATTGATTTCATCAGATCACCTTTCCTAGTTCAAGAATTGAAAGTCACGGATAAGGCTGGAAAGAACAGAGAAACTTTGAGGCTGGACATGATGCAAGATTCTTGTAACGAGTACCGTGATGCTGATATTATTATCTTCAACACCGGTCACTGGTGGACTCACCAGAAAACCTTTAAAGGGTATAGTTATTCGTCGTTAAATTCACTTTCAGAAATTTTGAATGATATGTAGAGCCAAACCAACAGCATTCAATCTCATATAATTTTCATGCAAATTTGATAAGTATGGTGTTTTTCGACTTCTTTGCAGGAATTACTATTTCCAGGAAGGTGATCGTGTGTACGACAAACTAGAAGTGACAGAAGCGTATAAGAGGGCGTTGAGGACATGGGCTCAGTGGGTCGATAGTAATATCAATATAAGCCGAACCAGTGTCTTCTTTCGTGGTTATTCAGCATCTCACTTCAAGTAATATATATTCATCTACCACTAACTTTTGCATATTATAGGTGTCGTTTGGTATGTACTTCATCATTATTAAGATTTCCATACCAAAACATGTTGAATGAGCAATCCTTATGCTTTCTGCTTAATGTCAATTTGCATCAATATTTGGCTTCCTGCAAAAGAAAATCATCCATTCTATTCAATTTTTTTTCACGCTGTAACCCAGAAGGGCATGTTTTCAATCAATTTTTTTCACACGCTTCGTTACATTGCAGAGGTGGTCAATGGAATTCGGGAGGAAATTGCGATGGTGAGACACGACCAATAACAGACGATACCTATCTTTCTCCATATCCATGGATGACTAAAGTTCAAGAATCTGTAATATCAGAAATGAAGAGTCCTGTTTTTTACCTTAACATTACCAAAATGACAGATTACAGAAAAGATGGGCATCCCTCAATATTCCGGCAACCAGTTTCACAGAGAAGGCCCGGAATGTTTCAAGATTGCAGCCACTGGCGCCTCCCTGGGGTACCAGACTCCCGGAACGAGCTTCTTTACGCGACTATGATCAAATCCCATAAATTTTTTTGAGCAATTAGTAGATTTTTTGTAATGTACTGCTTGTACAAATTGTTGCATCCAGTTTACCTATATGTCTTCTCCTCTTTAACTCATGATTTGATCAGTTCTTCCGAGAAAACTGCATTTTCTACAAATTATGGAATCAGTTTACAACTAAGAAAAAAATATTAACTTGATATTATTTAAAATGAAAGGCACAAGGTAAACACCAAGCTTTTGTTGGAAAAAATTGAGTGAGCGGCTCACTTTTGACACAATTTTCGATGGGACCCGTTGGTCCACTGTGGAATATCAAAGTTGATATGTGTTCTCCTCCGCGAGAACATCGATTTTATGTATTTATTTGCCAAAAATGAAGCTCGGATGAATGAAAAATTGAAGCTCAAAATTGGTCATTGAAAGTTGGTTTTGTGGGAAAAAATACATTTATCCCACATAGGAAAACCAAGGAAACTTAAACCACTTTATATATGGCTATGCTTTGGAGATGTGTAATCATGTGTAGCATAGAGACTCTCTCCATGTGCGCGCACAGGAGGGTGCAAATTACGAACCAAAATGGCTTTCGGACCTTGAACTTGGGTTCTCCAATGATTTTTGAGTTTATAAATTGAAAAAACTCCAATGGACTTCCAATGGTCACAATGTTAATGGGAATACACTCCAATGGACTCCCAATGGTCACAATATTAATGGGCAAAAGGCTCATTCTCCAGCAATCTAACACACTCGAAAATCTCACATACATTTCTGTATACACAGTTTCTTCTTTTCTGCATTCCTGTTCAGTGAGGTTTTGTTCTTGTGGTGATATTGTTCGAATACTAGATCAGTTCGTCGGAGTAGGACCGCGGTGCTCAAATTCTACTTGTTACCGTTGTATCCTGGGAGACAGCCGCTCGAACTGAACCTCCAGCGCCTACGGTGAGGGGGCGAAACTGTCTTAAAGAAACTGTGCACGCACATGCCTCGATTTGAAATCTACTGCAGTTTGTGTTTTCTTTTTACATATTATTTTCGCATTACTATTTAATTCATGCAGTTTGTAGTTCCATAGTGTGCAGCTTCCAGATTCATCGTTTACAGTTTTAGCCTGCAGTTAACTTATATTTCTGATTTTGTGTTGCTAAACATTTTTTTCAGCCGTTGGAAAATTTTGAAACGGAATTTTTTTAATAAATTGAAATCGTTTGCCTTGTGGTTATTAATTTCAATAGTTGGCTATTGTAATTGAATAAAACTTATACAATTGGTTTCATCCACTAGCGACTTGTTTTCCTACAAGCTTAAGACAGTTTCTGAATTCGGAAAACAAGAGTTGGTTTTTGGTTTAACTGAATTTTAGTTACTTGGAACTAATATTTGGTTTTCAAAAACAAGAGTCGTTTTTTTGGTTTCATTGAATTGTAGTTTCTTGGAACTAATATTTAGTTTGTTTTCAAAAATGGCAACCGAATCGAACAACATGGATGTGACCCAAATTGTTCCCGCTGGAAATCAGGCTGTGGGTTCTAATGTGGCTCAAGGGCCAAGCTCCGTTGTGGCTCAGACTATGACTAAAATGCCAAGTCATGTTGTGAGCCAAACTGGCCAAACTGTATCTGTTCCGATTAATCATGGAAAGGTGACAGCAAAAAATGCTTTTTTACTTGATCACCTTGAATCTCGCGAGATTCTTGACTGAAACTGCTCTGAAGCTTAATGAGGGCGAGGGAGATGTGCAAGCATTCGGACTTTCTGTGTCGAAATTATATCATGAACAGCCTTGCAGATTAGCTGTACAATGTGTATAGCACCATGAAAACTGCTAAGGAATTGTGGGAGTCCTTGGACCGGAAATACAAAACTGAGGATGCCGGGGCTAAAAAGTTTATAGTTGGCAAATTCCTAGACTATAAGATGGTGGACTCCAAAACTGTTATCAGTCAAGTGCAAGAACTCTAAGTGATCCTTCACGAAATTCATGCCGAAGGAATGATGTTGAGTGAAACTTTTCAGGTGGCTGCAATTATAGAAAAATTGCCCCCCGCGTGGAAAGATTTCAAGAACTATTTGAAACACAAACGAAAGGAAATGAACGTCGAAGAACTCGTTGTTAGACTTCGAATCAAAGAAGACAACAAGAGTTCTGAGAAGAAGTGGTTCAATCCTGGTGTGGCCAAAGCCAATGTTGTGGAGCTTGGTTAAAGTAGTAAGAACTACAAAAACAAGTCTGGGTCATCCGGTGGCAAAAGAACCAAGCAAGGACCGAAAGGTGGAATTGTCAAGAACAAATTCCAAGGGAAATGCTTCAATTGTGACAAAGTGGGTCACAAGTCTTCGGAGTGCAGATTACCGAAGAAGAAGAAAGAAGCGAACGTGATTGGCTACATAGCACAAGATGTGTCGGAGCTGAATCTCGCAGCAGTCATTTCTGAAGTAAACATGGTGGGTTCAAACCCTAAAGAATGGTGGATTGACACTGGTGCTACAAAGTATGTGTGCTCTGATAAAGAGATGTTTCATACGTTCGAAGCTGTTGAGAACGGGGAGAAGTTGTTCATGTGAAATTCAGTAACTTCTGAAATCAAGGGTCAAGGAAAAGTGGTTCTGAAGATGACCTTGGGAAAGGAGCTGACTCTCAACAACGTTTATGTGCCGAAAATTCGCAAGAATTTAGTGTCCGGGTCGCTTTTAATAAGCATGGTTTTCGCATTATTTTTGAGTCAGACAAAGTCATTTTGTCAAAAAGTGGAATGTTTGTCGGAAAATGTTATGTTTCGACGGTATGTTTAAACTCAATGTAATGGTTGTGAAACCAAAAATGAATAAAGCAAGTTCTTCTGCTTCTTTGCTTGAGTCTTCCAATTTGTGGCATGGTAGACTATGACATGTTAATTATGATACTTTACGAAGACTAGTTAACTCTAACTGCATACCTAAGTTCAATAACAGTTCCAAACATAAGTGTGAAACTTGTGTTGAAACAAAATTGACAAGGTCATCGTTTAAATCAATTGAATGGAACACAGAACCACTATATTTAGTTCACAGTGACGTGTGTGATCTAAAACTTGTACAAACAAGAGGTGGCAACAAGTATTTTATTACTTTTGTCGACGATAGCACAAAATACTGCTATGTATATCTGCTTAAAAGCAAGGATGAAGCTATAGAGAAATTTATTATCTATAAGAATGAAGTTGAGAATCAACTTAATAAGAAAATTAAGGTACTGCGAAGTGATCGAGGTGGTGAGTATGAAGCACCATTTGCTGAATTCTGTGCACAACACGGAATCATACATGAAACCACCGCCCCTTATTCACCGCAACAAAATGGTGTTGCTGAACGAAAAAATCGTACCTTAAAAGAGATGATAAATGCAATGCTCGTAAGTTTTGGGTTACCTCAGAACATGTGGGGACAAGTTGTATTATCAGCAAATTACTTTTTAAATAAGGTGCCCCGAAAGAAATCGGAAAAGACCCCTTATGAGCTATGGAAAGGAAAAATGTCTACCTATAAACACTTGCGAATGTGGGGGTGTCTTGCTAAAGTGGCTGTTCCACCACCAAAGAAGGTAAGGATAGGTTCGAAAACTATAGACTGTGTCTTAATTAGCTATGCACATAATAACAGTGCGTATCACTTTCTTTTGTATGATTCAAAAATTCCAGACATACTCAAAAACACGATAATGGAATCAAGGAATGCTACATTCTTTGAAAAAGTATTTCCATACAGATCCAAAGAGGAAGCAAACTCCTCTAAACGAACATATGAGACAATGACTGAAAATAGTCAGAACGAAGAATTAGAAAATGAGACTGAGGTTAGACGCAACAAACGGGAAATGACAGAAAAATCTTATGGTCCTGACTTTCTGACCTATATGCTAGAAAGTGAACCTCAAAGTTATCAAGAAGCAGTGAATTTCTCGGAAGGACTTCAATGGAAAAAGCCATTGAAAGTGAAATAGATTCCATACTGCAAAATCATACATGGGAGCTAGTGGATCTTCCTCTGGGAAGCAAACCACTAGGCTACAAATGGATTTTCAAAAGGAAAATGAAAGCAGATGGAACTATCGAGAAGTATAAGACCAGATTAGTAATTAAAGGCTACAAACAAAGGGAAGGCATTGATTACTTTGATACGTATTCTCCAATGACGAGAGTAACATCTATTAGAATGATACTTGTTATTTTCGCTTTGCGAAATCTTGAAGTACATATAATAGATGTTAAAACTGCCTTTCTAAATGGAGATTTAGAAGAAGAAATTTACATGGAACAACCTGAGGGGTTTTCGTCACCAGGACAGGAAAAGAAAGTCTGTAAACTAGTGAAATCACTCTATGGCTTGAAACAAGCACCAAAACAATGACATGAAAAATTTGACAATGTCATGATTGAGAGTGGATTTAAAATCAATGAATGTGACAAATGTATTTACGTCAAAGACAATAAAGATGGATATGTCATCTTATGTCTTTACGTTGACGACATGCTTATTGTTGTAGTGACAATAAGATGATTGAATCCACTAAAAATATGTTAAACTCGATATTTGACATGAAAGATATGGGTTTAGCTAATGTTATACTTGGAGTGAAAATCTCAAGAACATCAAATGGGCTTGTTCTAAGTCAGTCACATTATGTTGACAAAATTTTATGAAAATTCCATAAGGATGATACTGGCTTGGCTAGAACACCAATAGATACGAGTCAACGTCTATCTAAAACAGAGGAGAAAGTATCTCTCAAGTAGAATACTCGAGAGTTATCGGAAGTCTAATGTACTTAATGAGTTGTACTAGACCAGATATAGCCTACACAGTCAGTAAACTGAGTAGATACACGAGTAATCCAGGAGCTGATCACTGGAAATGAATTATAAGAGTACTAAGGTACTTGAGATATACTCGTGACTATGGACTACATTATACTAGATATCCAGCAATCATTGAAGGATACAGTGATGCTAATTGGATATCTAATATAAAAGACTCAAAATCCACCAGTGGATATGTGTTCACATTGGGTGGTGCTGCCATATCGTGAAAATCCTCTAAGCAAACGGTTATAGCCAGATCTACGATGGAATCT